AGGTGCTTATGCCGCTGAGCTAAATCCCCAGCCCCTTTATTGTCTGTTTTCGCTACAGTATTCTCACATAAGTATAGGCTCCACTGGTATCCTGGCACCCGTAGAAATTCGGAGTAACTTGTAAATGATTTTAGTCAATTGCAGGAATTTTACCCTTGTGTTCTCACAAGTATTTGGAATGCTGCCCTAAAGTTTTGCTAACCTATTTTATCCTGTGTAGATTAAATTGAAAATAGGCGTCTTAGAGCTCTTTATCAACTTTTTTGGCTGGGGGAGGGTACCAGGAGTTGAACTCAGGACAATGCATGTGCCTGGCAGGTAATTGTGCCACTGAGCTACATCCTCAGCCCTTGTCTTTACCAACTTTTGACCTGTCAAAAGTTTCAATTGCAAAAGCCAGGTGAGGAACACTTTAATGACTTCCTCAATGAAGACTGTCATAAAAAATGACATTCTGTATTTTATTTTTATACCTTGATTTGAGACTAGACATTCTAAATAGTATGACCGACCTTTCAACTTTTCTTAACACATCAAGAGTCTTTCATATTTGCAAGTTTGGCTTTTTGCAAGGATCTTCTTGCTTCTGAAGTTCATAGCTGTTGATTCATCTGGATTACCACTTCTCAAGATCTTCCAAATTCCATTCATTGTGGTGAATTTTAACTTAAAAACATAGATTTTATGAAGATAATCTCTTTGAGCAGTTAGACATTAAGAATTTTTACTTAAATCATTTGGTCTGTGCCAAGCCTCTTCTACTTCCTTGGTTGTCATTTATATTACCTTAAAAGCTTCTTACTACTGCTCAAAGGAGGAAACAACATTGATATTACATAAAGGACAAAACTCCTCCTTATTGCAACCTGATCTAATTTTGGATTTCTTCAACATTGTTAATGCTTTTACTCTTTTTAGTTATTTTTGATTTTGAATGCAGTGCCCCTCCCCATATCATGGTATCCAACCTTTAGATTTTGTAATATTTTCCTGATCATGAAAGATTTTTGAAATCACTCAGCATAGTCTCTGAAGATCTGTTACCCTTGCTTCTGATAAACAAAGCAACATGCAATAGGACACTTGCAGTCATCAATGGTGCAACTGTCACCGATTTTTAGGAAAAGTTTCCCACTAATCATGTAGGCCCCTCCTTCCCATCACTTCAGGTCTGTCTGCAGCAGCAGTGAGGCCCTCTTTTCAGTCTCTGCTTCTATGCACTTTCTTTAAACAGATGCAATGATCTGACAATCAATGTGCTAGAAGATTTTTGTTCTGGATATGTGTAAAGCACCAAATTTGTCTTCTTTATCTCTATTCATTTTAAAACCACTATAGTCTGTCACTAGTGCCTGCCCACTCCACAAAAACTGATCACTTTCTTCTTCTTCTTCTTCTTCTTCTCCTTCTCCTTCTCCTTCTTCTTCTTCTTTTTTTTTTTTTTTTTTGGTACCGGGGATCAAACTCAGGACTTCACGCTTGCAAGGCAGGCACTTATGCCACTGAGCTAAATCCTTGGCCCAAAACTGATCACTTTCAGTCCACCAAGAACTAAAAGTCAAAACAGTAGATGACAACAATGTTTCTGTACCTAAAGATGCATGTGACCCTAATGGGAAGCTGGTTAAAATGCAGATTGTGTTTAGATTACCTTCCACAAATACATGAGATTTTGCAATATTTCTTTTCTGACTTGCTTATTTCACTTAGTATGACATCGACCCAGTTCAAATATGTTGCAACAAATGACAAGATCTCATTTTTTTCATGGTGGCATAATATTCTACTACACAGAGGTATCATTTTAAAAAAAAAAAAAAATCTATTCATACAATGAGAGACATGTAGCCTGTTCCATATCTTGCTATTGTGAATGATTTGAGTCTGGATCTGCCTCCAAAACCTCATATAGTCATGGGAGTGGGCTTCTAGAATTTGTGATTGATTCATCATGGTCCAATGCTGGGATTACGGAGTCAATGCTATACTTACTCTAGGATCAGCAGCCTACATACAACATAAGAGACAGAAAGAATCTTCTTGTGCACCCTCCCTTTTTGCTTTTGTTGCTTTTGCTGTTTTCTACTGCCATGAATTGTTGCCCCTGTACCATAAACCACCCTGTCTTGGAGTCAGCTGATTATGGACTGCAACCGCCACGAACTGTGAGCATTTAACCTTTCCTTCTTTAACTTTGGGTGTCAGGTATTTCGTCCCAGCAACAAGAGAAAAGTGACCAACATTGTGAATAATAATGAAATAAATTGTGAAATAAACAAGGAAGTAGAGACACCTTTACTGTATTGATTTCACTTTCTTTAGGTATACACTGAGAGAGAGATGGCTGGTCATATGGTAGTTCTATATTGAATTTTCTGAGAAGTTCTCCATATTATTTTCTGTAATGGCTGCAAAATCTATATTTGCATCAATAGTTTACTTTTCCTCATCATCTCACCAATACTTACCTTTGATTTCAATAACAGTTATTTACTATAGTGTGGATCCTCAAAGGATGTGGGTTATTGAAGATGTGGCTCCATCCCAGGCACTATTTGCAAGGTAGTGCAACTTTTTAATATATGAGGCCTATTGGAAGGAAGTTAGGTCATAGGATGCATGTCTTGGAAAGAGATACTAGGATTACAGTTCTTTCTTGTCTTTTTCTTTTTTTCCCGGTGTCCATGAGCTGAACAATTTCCTCTGTCACGCACTCCCACCATAATGTACTGCCTTGCCACAAGGTCAGGAAATAGCGGACTGAAATCTCTGAAATGGTGAGCTAAATCAAACTTTTCCTCTTTTTAAGGTGATTTATCTTGGGTATTTTGTTACCAAGATGGAAAGCTCCTTAAACCTACACCCTAATGAAATGCAGTGAATCTCAGCACTTTTGATTTGCATTTCTCTGTTTATTGGTGATTTTAAGCACCTTGTCAAATGCCTGTTGACCTTTTTTATGTCTTCCTTGAAGAAATGTATTTTCAAGTTAGTTGTTCAGTTTTAAACATATTTTTCCACTACTGAGTTGTTTAACTTCTTAATAAATTTTGCATATTCATTCTTTAGGGCACTTTTCACCTTTCATTGCTTTAATACTGTCCTACTTAGTGGCAATTTCTAAATCAGACCTGCCCCCTCAGACTTATCCACAAATTCACCTACTAATGGCATCATTGTCTAGCTAGAGAAATCTTAAGAGTTTATGTCTAGAAAGCACCTGTCTATGAGTACTTGTCTATAGAACTGTTGTTATTAAAATCAACTGGGAAGCTTGCTAAGATCTGTGAATAAAAACCATTTAAATGTTGACACATTAAGTCTGGAATAAGGCCCATGGCACTGTATTTTTAATAGGCCTTCATCTAATATCCCAAAACTACTACAAGAAATGTCTCTCTAGCTAGGTATGGTGGTGCATGCCTCTAATCCTAACACTTAGGAGGCTGGGGCAGAAGGATCACTGTGAGTTTGAAGCCATCCTGGCATACATAGTGAGCTCAAGACCAGCCTGAATTATACATAAAGAGACCCTGTCTCAAAGAAAACAACAGCAAAGATGTCTCTCCTAAGGATTCCTCTGGTGCTGCTTCTTGGCAGCAAGACCACAGAGACTTTGGAAGTGCCTTCTCCCAGAGGGCTCAGGGTGTGAAAATAACGGATAGTTGACTCTTCCTCATAATCTCCAGCAAAACCTCCAGACGAGTCTAACTAAGAATGCCACGTAAAATCATTGCTTTGTCTTGCCCTGCCTTGCTTTTCTTTTCTTTGTGCTAGGGATCAAACCCAGGGGTTCAAACATAGGCAAGTACTTTGCTACTGAGCTGTACCTCTCTCCCCACCGTATTTCAATCTAAAGGCAGATGTAGAGCAAATCACTGGCCACTGCCCTTCTTACACAATTTCCTTAAGCACCTTAAAACAGTTTTTCCTGTACTATCAATGGTTTGGCTTTATACCAGCTACACTTCAAAATAAGGAATGCATGTTTGGGTCCTCTTTTTAACTTGTCCCTTTGAGGACACATTAGTAATTTAAGAAACTGAATAACAAAGCCTATAAACATCTCCATAGACAGTACACACCTCTAAGGTGTTGACACAAACTTTAATTTTTATTCCCCAAAGAACTTTTTTCAGACCATATCCACTAGAGGAAGCTCAATTAATAGCATTTGTATCATAAAGAGTCCTGGTTTGTATATATTTTTAAAATTAGCTCCTTTACACTACAGATAAATTTGATTAGTTACTCTAATCTGATGTTTTCTTCATTGTTCTTTTACTCTAAGTGCATACATGCAATTCTTTTGCCCAGGTTTATTAGACTAAAATTAGAGTTCAATTAGTCACTTTGAGATATGTAACCAAGTGGCTAGTCCTTTTGCAAGCTTTACAAAACACATATTCTCAAAGTGATGCGGGCACTTAGGGAATCAGAAATAACAAAAACCACATAACTCTGGAATATATGAATTATACATTTTATAAAATGTATTTTGTTGTACTGGGAAGGCCTTAAACCAGGTTTTGTGTGGAAACACTGCCAGAGGTTGTAATGCACACAGTGTACGACATCAATGTTCGGATTCCTTTAAATTTACCTCTATCACAGACGTCATAGTCATGTTCTGTGTCTCTCCTCCATCCACATGTTAAAATGTACAATAAAGAAGTAAATTTTTTTCACTTCAAAAAGAAAATCAATGAGAACTGAAAGGATGAGCAATTAACCCAGGTTTTACCAGGACTGTTTTGCTTTGATTCCTGGAGCTTGAAGCATTGATTCACCCTATTTTTCTAAATACGACTACTCAGGAAACATTTTGCTTCCGCTGCAGTGGCCTCTGCCACAGCTTGGAGTCGTTCTGTGACATATCCTTAATCCTTGCTTTTCTCTCCATATTTCTCTTTTCCGCCTCCCCCTCTCAGCTGCAGGGATTTGTCCTCTACAAGAATGGGGGTGGGAGGGAACAAGGCGAGGCCTGGAAGCCAGCAGGGAGCATGAGCTGGAGAATGCCAGGATCTGGCTTTTGTTATTGGTTGGCTGCCGCCTGATGGATGGAGGAGGGAGGAGTGAATTCTCCTCAGTGTGTTCCGACGGAGCTGAAGTCCAGAAACCATATTTACAGGTAAGAGCAAAAATATTATAAAGAAGAAAAAAGAACAGGACGTTCTTTTTTTCTTCCTTTGTTTTCAACAGCGATGCTTCTCAATTCTGACTGCAAAAAAATCTCGCATGCTATGACAATTATTCTGAACGCATTTCCCCAAAGTATGCCTTTTTATTACTTCCAGAAGCTGGGCAGTGAGCTGTTCTTTCTCGCTGTAAAACCCTCTGCTGATTAAAAAAAACCCCAAAAACCCAAACACCAGAGGCATGTTTTACCACCGACAACTTCTAAGCGAGTGTTACGAAAGAAAAACTGTTCGACGAAATGAGTCATCATGGGTCGCTTTAGTATTGTTTTGATAATTGAAGCTTTTATTATCAAAGGAGGAATGAAAAAGCTTGGTAAATTCCACAGGTCCTGAGAAAATGGAGCCTTCTCTGCATTTAGAGAATAAATTCGGTGTGGGGCATTTTAATACTCACAATACAGTAAATGCTTTAGGAAATATATTTTTGCAGGTTGTAGATTCTTATGCTAATTTAGAATGAATGGTTTATGTGCATTTAAGCCCTGTTAACTGAACTTACTCTTGATTAATCTGATGCCTTGGGGCATTTTATCAATAAATATTAAGCTTATGTGGTAATTAAAGAATCTTCTTTGTATCCTTACTGACATTCGTGGAACCATTTTCGTTTTAAAAACTAAGACACAAATTGTGAAGAATTAAACATTGCTGTGAAAATAGCATTTTAGCAGGCAAGTTTCATTGATAGTTTCACTCATCAATCAGATCTAGATAAGAATTCCGTTATAGCATTTATATTTCTGGAATATCTTCAAGGCTCTATTTTCAGTATCGCTCAAGTTTTTATTTTGCTAGTTCCTTATATTTTCTAACATTGCCTTTCCCCTAGGGAAGACAAGGAAGATTTAAAAATATATAGCATGAATGATACATTTATATTAGACATATGAAAAAAATCTTATCCCAAAGTATTTTAATCATATATTGATTCTAATTCATAAGTACAGATCTTTAAGGTTTAGACATTCCCATTAAAATTAAGCTGTTATAAATATTATTACAGGCTTGGCAATTAATACCTGTTGATTATGATCAATGAAAGTCTTTGTGATATAAATAATATATCTGATTATACGTTTGATGCTTCTTTTGATTGAATCACAGACTAATAGGAATGACTATATATTTTTAATAATTTTATTGTCTTATTTTTGCTTTCTATTTTGTTTGGGAGACATGTGTCTTTGTATAAAGGGATACAGACATAACAGTTCTTGCAAAATTTAAACAAATGGACAAGAGGTACCAGATACTGAGTAAAGATTATTAAACTGAAAGAATTACTTTAAACGTCCCAATGTACTGAATATAGTTAATATTTTTATACACTTAAGTGTTGTAACAACCCAAGCACATGCTCCTGCCTGGCTCATTTTGACATTTTTCTGATTTAAAAAATTATAAAACAGTGAAATTTCACTGTTACCAATTATTTATAGATTTATCTGATTTTGGTTTTCCAAGCAAATAATTGTTGAAATTAATCCACCCCACCTACCAGACTGGAAGGTGAGGCAGTGTATAAATGAGATAGTTACCTCTTGAAATGTGTTGGTGAAAAATAAGTCAACATAAGCCACATATTTTAGAAATTAGAAATTCTGAGCAAAGCTACCTCTGGGAATGAAGAGGAACTGATGAAAATTAGAGAGCAGAGTTCCACATGGTTTTAAATTATTCTGTTTCCTTGGAAACCAGCTGCTGCAGATGCATCTTGCTTTCTTTGACTAAAAATATCATCCTTTTAATAATTGGTAAGGGAAAGGTTCTGAATAAACTAAAGTATATCGTTGCTGCTTTTTAAAATTTCCTCAGTGGTTGACATATTTTGGATGAAAAGTAGATAAACCCTTTCTCAATCAGCATTTCCCACCAGCCACTCACTGGCAGACGTCTGCAAGTCTTACAAAATGACACAACTGAGACAACTGTGGTAGCTTCTACTGCAGAGTCTACAGAGGGGGAGACAGAGAGAGAGAGAGAGAGAGAGAGAGAGAGAGAGAGAGAGAGAGAGAAAGAGGGAAAGAGAGACAGACAGAGACAGAGACAGACAGAGAGAGAGAGGGAGAGAGATTGCTGGAGAGAAGGCAAGATAAAGGAAAGGCATGAAAGGAAACAGTTAAGAGGTTTCTGGCCAACTGAAGGGTGAGACAAGGGATACAGAAACCCTGTAATACTGCCTAGAATGAGATGCAAGCAGGACCACTTTTTCCCTTTGGTATAAGTATTTGCAGGACTTAACTCTAAGTTGTAATGAAGATCACTAATTACAATTCTTCCCCCTTTTGCAAAGTACTTTTATTTCCTTTTTATGTTTGCAATGGTTAGTAATATGGCCCATAAAACAACAGATTTAAAATATAAACTTGGAATCAGGCTGTGGGTAGCAAGGAGGATCAAATATATATTTTGAGGTAGTAGAATAAGAATACTTTAAACTTAATTTTATTGCATATTTCACTAATCCAGTCATTTCTTTACTATATAATTTGCCTGATAAATTAAAATTGCATATTTCAATAATATAAAACCTAATGTTAAGGTAATATAGTTTAAATTTAATAAGAATTTTTATGCATGAATATGTGTACTTTCAGGCTTCATCTGAAGCACTGCTTTATTTGAAAAAAATTATGTGGTTTTTCTTTATAAACATTTCTTGAATATTATCTTACTTTTCCTTAGGTTGTTTCTTAAATTAAAATATTTTCATTCTGTTTATTTTTAAAATCTATTTTAAAACAACACTGCTGTCACAAACATTGTTTTTTCCTCTTGGTATTTATTGAAAGGAAAAACAATAAATCTATTGCGGTTTCCCTATTATTATTATTACTATTACTATTTAGATGAGATTTATTTTCTCTTAACCATGCATCGAAATGTTTTTGACATGTAATATTTTATTTTCATAATATTCATCTTAGTCTATAAGATTTAGTGGTTGGCAGTGTAGTAAATAAACTACCACACATTGAAACCATACATTAAAATATTTAACATTTATTGAATACATTGATTTGCTACATCACTATTTTCCAAAAGGAGTCATTATAGTGACAAGGATTTAGATTTTATCATTTAACATGGGCAAAGCACTTCAAGGACAATACTTTCCTCATAAATACAAGTGACATTAAAAAGTACACTAACAATGAATCAAGAGGTTAGTGAGTGGATTTTATGATTTTATTTTATATGCGAATAACCCTTATATGAAGCACAAATTAGCAAGTTTATTTCAAGTTCCTGAAAATAGTGCATTTCCTAGGCTTATTCTCAACTCAAGGTAATGAAAAAATGCATTTTGTTAGTAGTGTCTACTGTTTTATGCTCCTTTTCTTCCTAAAAGTAGCCCCCCAGAATTGTATGTTTACATGACCTCTAAAAACTCACAAAATGTAATAAGAAAAATGAAATATTAAATTGCTTCCTCTATAATATAGGCAGCCAGTTTTATATCTATAATAGAAAATATGCTAGTTTGGCAAATTCTTCCACATTGCTGGCAATGGACGGATGAGATTTATAATAATATGAAATAAATCAGAGCAAGAAAACTTGTGTCAAATTTTACCATGTTCACATTATACTTAAGGTAACCCAAGCAAATGAAGAATAGCATTATCATTTGTACCACAAGATATCCTAATTCAAAAATAGTATTGATATCATTTCAACATCATATGGATCTTACTATATATTTAATATTTGGTAGTATAATATAGGGCTTATATAGAAGTAGAAAAGAAGTTGGTCCAAAGCAAGCATTATTATTTCTTAATTACTATTTTATAAATCAAGAAGGAATGAATGGATTTGATTATCAAAGTAATGGTCACATTTGGCTACTTGACCTACCTCAATGAATGAATTGAGCAGATCAGTAGATTTCTCTGAACTGCCTAGATTTCAGTTAGTGCAGTATGTTGGTTGACCTAAAACTTGTTTAATATGCATGTTCTGAGAATACAGACTTCATATTATTTAACCATATCATTATATCAATCATTTAATTCCAGGTTATGATAATCATGATGAGTGTCAATACTAATTCCAAGTGTCACAAAATACCAAGGAAACCACTTTTCTACAGGATGAGCTTCAGAATTGAGTTTAGTCTCATGATCGACAGGGTAGTCATCCTATGGTTTATTTTTCAAGAAACTTTGCACTTAATTTCATCTAAAATTAAGAATTTAAGATTTTATCTACTAAAATAATAAAACATAGTGTATACATTTCATTTTCAACTTACACACATTAATGAAAAATGACACTTTAAAGAGAAACTACCAACAAAATTAGCTTTAATGTAAATTATTATATCTTTAAACAATGTTTGCTATAAATCCTGTTGGCAAAAAACACATTTAATTTTCATATACTACCTGTGCTTATTTTGATCTGTATTAATCTAGATTCCTGAGTCTGGCCTAAAGAGACAATTCTTCCTGGAATCCTTGTTTTACTTGTGAAGAAGCAAAAATGTGAAGTGTGATTATTTTAATAGGAAACTAAACATTTGCTTATGTAAAATAACCTCAGGCATACTCTGTATGTTTGTATTAAGTATTAGACAAATTACATTAAAGATGTGGTGAAAGAAAAACAGTTCAGGAAGGCTTTGAGGAAGGTGAAAAGTGTGTGGCGTGGCCATGTGGTTTACACAACCTCATGTGAATTTTAGAATTACACAAAATCTCTCCCGGTTGACTTCCTCCTGATATACAGAGTATGATGGATTTGACTCACGATCTTGGTCTTTGACATTTTATAAGCTTGCTGTGGAGCAAAAAAGGCATTTTAGTTTTATTTTCTAGCAAGTGTCAGAAAAGTTGCTGTCATGTTGTGGATGTATGATAATATACTTAATAAATGAAGCAAATAATTTCCTAAACAAGACTCTGAAAAGTATTTACAAAGATTT